AACGTAACATTGAAGATTGGCCTTCTGTTAAAGTATTCCAGAAAACACATTTTCAGTTTAACGACTTTAAAAAAATGGGTTTGGGTTAAAAATAGTGGTCAAATTCAAACACAAGAAAACTGCATTTTTACATTTCCAAAATATTGAAATTTTTAGAATCGTATATTAGCGATTGTGGGCGTTAAACAACAAACTTGCGCTGCGTAAGAGCTCCTACACTCAGAAAAATAATCGCCCTTAATTTTAGAAAATCGCCCGTGATTTCAAATCGCCATTGAATTAAGAAAATTTTTCTAGATTATAGAAAAATTTTCTTAAGTTTATGGAAATTTGCCATAAAATTTTTTATAAAATGAATAAGAAGAAGAATAGTTGATTTTTTTCTTGGATTAATGGCGATATTTTCTTGGATTAATGGCAATATTTTCCGGACTTTTTTCTTGAGTTAATGGCGAAATCGCCTTTGATTCAAGAAAATAAATACCTATTTTTTAGGAAAGTTGTGTAATTTTTTAGTGTTCTAGTATGGTGGCCTAGCTGTTAGAGGCGTTCGGACACTAAACATGTGTACAAAAGTCGCCGCGGAAACCGCGGTTCGACTTCACGCAGGGACGAGTCTGATTTTTTTTTTTAATAGTTATTGTTTTTTTTTTTCGTATAAAAAATCTTTTGTTTTGGTTTTCCATTCACTAAATTGTTAAAACTGTTGTTAACAAGATTTAATTAAAGTAATTGTAATTGGTATACCAATAATACGACCGTTAACACTTTAGGCATATTAAGCCATTGCATTGCAAGAAGCACGCGTGGCCGAGTGGTTAAGATGTCTGTCTATGGTGTGAGCGGTCGCGAGTTCGAGTTCAGGTCGAGGTAAGAATTTTTCCTTAAGTCTTTTATATGTTTACAAAAAGTTTTTTCTGTACTTAAAATGCATTGTAATTAATAAACATTTATAATAATTTTGAATTTAAATTAAATAAATAAATAAATAAATAAAAATGTTTATGATTGTCACTAAAACATGAAAGGTTTCCTCTTAGTTAACAAACCTAAATGCAAAAGTGATAAAAAAATCAGTCGGACAAAATTAAAAAAAAGGTTATAAACAAATATACTTTTATTTTTCTATTTTTAAGAACATTTTTCTTAATTTTAGGGTTTTTTGCCGTAAAATTCAGAAAAATTGGTAATGATTTTTAGAAAGGCGAAACCGTAAATTCAAGAAAATTATTTCCCATTATTAATGGCGAATCGCCGTTGGCTGAAAATCATAGGCGATTTTCTTGAATCAATGGCGATTTTTTTTATGAGTGTAGAATCAGCATGAAGAATGTCAATCTTATAGCTTTTATAGTTTCCGAGATCTCAGCGTTCATACGACAGACGGACATGGCTAGATCGACTCGGCTAGTGATCCTGATCATGAATATATATGGTTTATAGGGTCGGAAACGCTTCCTTCTAGCTATTACATACTTTTGCACGAATGCAATATACCCTTTTACTCTACGAGTAACGGGTATAAAAATCTTTAAGTCAAAGATGCTGATGTAGATTGTTGACTCATGACGAAACTGTTAAATGTGATTATTTTTAACAAATAAAAAATATAATATAGCTCGTATGTCTTACTTGCTTCCTAAAATAAACTTATTTGTTGATTTTTACGGCAAATGAGTACGTTGCTTTTCAAGTGCCTTTAAGTGCCATCCCCAAATTAGTTCATTCCTTCAAAAAAAAATTCGTTGATCAATTTACTAAAAGCGTATACTGCCAACTCGGTGCGGTTTTGCCTTAGTTTTCGGTAATTTAAGTTTTAATTGAAGGCATAACTCGAAGTCGAGCTATTTTGAAGATCTTTGCTAAGGGAGCCCAAAAATATGCCGTACTTTTTTTCTTCAGGTTTTAGTGAACATTTTGCGCGCAAAAATTTGATTTTAGTGTGACTAACATCTAATATCTCCTTTTTACGTACAATAATCGATCATGGTATTTTCGAAATCTATATCTATCTATTTAATCTGGACTATGCAAATATAAATGTAGCATGCATTTGTGATGACTTGAGAATATGCCAAATTAACATTAAACAAATTAAAAAACCATATTTTTAAAACAATTTTTTTAAATAATTTGATTATAAAAATCTTAAGTGAAAACAAGAAAAAAAAAAAAAAATTTTTAAATCGATTGTTTGATAAACGTTGATGTGGGAGCCTCCGAAAGTTGCAGTTTTTAACGGTTCATAAATCTTAAACGATATAATATTTTTTAGCGATGTTAATTTTTTTTAGTTTGTCTTATCTCATACTTTATCGTGAGTGAAAACGGCTTGAGTGTGCCTTCTAGTTATTTTTTTAAAAATAATAAACCGAAAAGTACGTAAAATTTTCCGGCTTTGGTCTAACAGCTGTAAGTTAGCAGAGGCGGCCTCTGTTGAAATTCCTGAAACGTAACATTGAAGATTGGCCTTCTGTTAAAGTATTCCAGAAAACACATTTTTAGTTTAACGACTTTAAAAAAATGGGTTTGGGTTAAAAATAGTGGTCAAATTCCCCATAGTATACTGTATCATATAGCTGCCAAAGGAACAATCGGAAAATTAATGAGAAATAATAGGAAATTTTTGCGATTTGTAAATTAACAGGAATGATTCTCAAGGATATATAAACTTCGGCTGGCCGAAGCTGACTTGCTTATACACAAATAAAATCAAGAAATAAATAGAAGCCCCGCTTAGAAGACAAATTTACGAATTGAAATAACCTAAAATGTTGACTACCCAATCGGGCCTTTCCGCATACAAACTATATTCTGGGGTATCACAGAAATCCTTCCCAAACAAAAATGCACTCATAAAAAGTCTTTTCTAAATTTTAGAAAATTGCCTTAAAAAACTGCCTTTAAACTGAGAAAAATGTTCTATTTTCATGTCAAATTTGACATAAATTCAGTGCAAGTCATCATTAAAAATATTTGTTGATGGTAAATTTTTCTATTATATTTTTTGGCGGTTTTTAGGCGTGTAATTTTAACGAAGCCATTTAAGCCAGATTGTTTGTGTTTGTTCCAACTTTTTCAACTTTGTCAAAGGGGAACTTCTTAACTTGTGAATGGATCCCAATGAAAGTTAAAGGGCATTATATTACCTTTAAAATGAGTATTTGATGGCCAAAATCGGTTTATCACAACGCAAGTTGGAAAAATAAAAAAGTGTCAAAAAGGTTTTTTACGCTTTAAAGAAAATTTTTACCATACAATTTTAATTGCCCTTTTCTTAATTAGAAATATGTACCTTACTGAAAAACAAAGGTTTTCTTAAGTACGTAATTCATTGATTTTTCTTGTAAAAATATACGTCAAAAAATTTTGTTTGGACGACTCTTTGTTGGGTTAAGTACTAGCCCTTAAAATGAAGGTTTGAGACAGGCAGTGCTTTTCGTGGCAGAGGCGTACTTACAAATCGGCAAAGTCAAAATTTATAAATAAATCCATGTTTTTGTGTGTTTGTATCAGGAAAATAAAACACACTGTAAAAAACTTGTGTTATTAACATGTTAAATGTCAAAATGTTAGGTGTGTAAAAAATTGTATCCTACATATGTTAGAAACATAAAAAACACACACATGGGCGGTTCTTTTACAAACCGAACGGATTTGGTCAAAAAAAAAATGTCATCTTTTTGTTTTGCCCGAAACTTGAAAATTTAAATCTCCGGTTGTAGTAACGATTGACTTCGGATTTCTTTATTTCTTCTTTACTATTTTTTTGTATTTTGTAATTTATTAAACATTTTTTAATATATATTTTTTAATTTTTAAAAAAAGTTTATTTATTAAAAATAAAAAATTATAATATTGAATAAATTTTTTTATTAAAATTAAAATTTTTAAATTATTGTTTATTAAATGGACGGTTTAATAAATATTTGGAAGTTTTTAATAGATTAAAAAATGACTTTTTACTTTTTGTCAATCAGAAATTGTCAAAACAGTTAAATGTTAACTTTTAATCATTAAAAGTTGTTAAAGGACTATTAAACGATGAGAAAACATGAATTCCATAAGGATTCGATAAGAGTGAGAGAGTAGACCTACATGCTGCGACGTTTTTTCATAGAAAAAAGCCGAGGCCTTGTTAAAACAAAGGGCATAGCAGACTTACCTACTTACACTTCAAAAACTTAAAAAAAAGTGGTCTGGCCGGGTTGTAGAAAACGTCCCACGAAACTACTTGAAATCTAGTTTTTCCTTTCTTTGACACTTTTGCACCACCTATAAAATTATGATTTTTTTTTATTAATTCAATGGTTAAAAGACACAGGAGCTGTAAAAAATTGGTGAGGTTGCCAAAACTTGAAAGTGGTCAACATTTTTTTTGGAAATTTTAATCGCGGACCTATTTCTTATCCCTTTGATTTCTCATCACTAATTTTCAGTTAAGCGTTTCCGTTGGTCAGATATAAGCTTATATACATTTTTGGATTGCAGACGATTACTCCTCAGCCAAATGTCCAATAGCTTTGAAAATTGGTTTACATATGGACAGTATACTGTCCTTCTAATTATCTACCATCGCTGATTCAAAATGTTTAAAAATCGCTGGGGGCCGTTTTTCATAGGTAAGTCTGCTATGCCCTTTGATATTTAAAAAACTAAACATGGCTTTACCTTTTTGACAAAAACCGATTAAAACTAACAATATGGCGCATATGTTAATGTTACAAGTTAATGGGAATGATCTGCAAGGGTATATAAGCTTCGGCTGACCGAAGCTAGTTTCCTTTCTTGTTTTTAAATGTCATATTTTCGTGCTTGTTCGGAATGTAGGAGGAGCAATAAATAGCTCTAATAAACAAATGGAGAAGTGCTACATTTACTTAAAATCGTATTTTTAAGAAATCTGTCTAAAGCCTTTTAACCCTCACCAACACCAGTTCAGGAACCCACTCACCGACTTCCCCTCGACCTAAAATAACAGCCAATAAGGGGCGAAACTGATGTGCGGTTTTGGTTTCATGGCTTACGGTTTTGAATGCTGCCATCGGTCAATTGATTTTTCACTAATGCCATACATTGGCCAACCCAAAACCAAAATAAAAGTGAAATGCAAAGCATTAAAAAAATCAGAACTTAAACGCCAAAATAAACAATTTGTCAAGCGTCTATGTCTGTATGCGTGCGAGTTGTTTGAAGCAAACAATCGTCGAGAAAGAAAGAAAAGAGCTTATGTTTGACATGAAATTAAATTGCTACCGAAATGGCAAAATGGACACACGGTGGACAATAAAACTAAAATAGGATTAGTTGCGGTCTGTGCTTAATTTCACAGCGCGAAATGCTGGCTCGGTTTCGGAATGGTTTTAAACAATAACGCGACAATTGAAAATAAACAGTGAGCGATGTGGATTCCCTTCAATACAGCATCGGGAAAAATAAAGCCAAACTATTTTCCAGGGACCGTAAATAACAGTTATTTGAGACTTTTATTTTAAAAGGCCTACTGAGATTTGTTCAATTTTTCATCCACAATTTTACTGGTTCTTATTGCACTTTATAGACATGGACAAATAACAGTTAATTTGCTTTCCAGATTTGTTAAAATGCATATGCTTTGTGGACAAGAGTAAAAAATGTGTTATTTTTTACGTTTAAAACAAAATATCACAGTAGTCTTTTTAAAATAAAAGTCTCAAATAACTGTTATTTACGGTCCCTGCTATTTTCAGAAAAATGGACCCAAATATCGACTTCAATTTTTATACCCTTGCAGAGGGTGAGGGTAATGATTTCAGTCAGAAGTGTGCAACGCAGCATATTCTTGATCAGCATCACTAGACGAGCCGATCTAGCCATGTTCGTCTGTCCATCCGTTTCTACGCAAACTAGTCTCTCAGTTTTTAAGCTATCGGGATACAAATTTTCCTAAAGTCTTCTTTGTATTGCAGGTAGTATATAAGTCGGAAACGACCGGATCGGACAACTATATCTTATAGCTCCCATAGGAAGGATCGGAAAAAAAAAGTTAAAATAAATTATAGCTTCGGTGTTTTTTGAAATATTACCTTTTACTCTTGGGAATATTATTTTTTAAATATTTAATTTATAATTTCGAATAAAATTTTAAAAAATTGGATCACTACATCATAAAGTTTCAATAGGAACGGTCAGAAAATTAAATGGAAATTAATAGGAAAAAAATTATATCCTTGTTGATTTTTATTACATTCTCTTCTTCACTGGGATATAGCTTTTCTTTAACATTTCAAAATATCCAAAAAACGAAAGCAGCTACACACAAAAAAAAAACTTTGTAAAATAATTGTCAAACAGGCCCCAACCAGAAAAATTGTCAATTCTACTAAGTAAATAGTCATTTCACAACAACAAAACACAATTAGCAAAGACACAAACCCAAAGCAAAAACAAAATACACGTAACTATTTTAATCGTTACGTAACTATCTTTGTTGGTCAATTTTACCAAACAAATTTTTTTGTGTGTAATATTTCGATTGTTTTACCATATAAGCAAGTGAATCTGAATTTAATGTTTTTGTAAGTTAATACACACAAAAAAAAACTTGGTAAAATTAACCGTTATAATTGTCAAATAGTCCCCAACTACAAAAATTGTCAATTCTACCATGTAAATAGTTACTCTTACGTAATAAGCAAACGTATGGGTTACTATAAAAAATAGTTACGCAAGTGTACAAAATGGTTGAATGTGCCCAAACCATAAATTGTAGTTAACTTACTATTTTATAGTAAATATACAATTATTTGCAGTTATTTCAATATGTAATATTAAATATAATAGTAGGGTCTAACAAAATTGTTGTATGCAAATTTACACTTCCTGTTATTATTATGTTAAAATATTTCCAAAAAATTATGCAACATCTAACAAAATTTAAAAAAAAATATAATTTGCAAATTAAAACAAGAGAGAACGCTATAGTCCGGGTGTTCCGACTATCAGATACCCGTTACACAGCTTTAGGGAGTGCGTGGGAGATGGAGATATAAAACTTTGATCGCGCATAACTTTTTAACGAATGGTCCGATTTAAAAAAACAAACTTACGCTGCGTAGAAAGCTAAAAAATATGTGTGGGTAATACCAACTTTCTTTCAGACAGACAGACAGGTCATAGCTAGATCGATTCGGCTAGTGATCCTGATCAAGAATATATATACTTTATAGAGTCGGAAATGCTTCCTTCTAGGAATGGATGATGGCTTTTTTTTTGCATCAATGGCTCACTAATTCTTAATTATTTTGAGTCGTACGAACTAGCGTTCTTAAAGTCCTACACACAAAAAATTTTGCTTGGTAAAATTGACCAACAAAGATAGTTACGTAACTATTAAAATAGTTACGTGTATTTTGTTTTTGCTTAGGGTTTGTGTCTAATTGTGTGTATTTTGTTGTTGTGAAATGACTATTTACTTAGTAGAATTGACAATTTTGCTGGTTGGGGCCTGTTTGACAATTATTACAGTTGATTTTACCAAGTTTTTTTTTTGTGTGTAGTAATTACAAATAATATTACATCGCTGCATTCATATATTGGTATACAAATGGTTTTTTGTAAGATGATCAAAAACCACTAATATAGCAAGCTGTGCAATGCACACTGGGCCAGAAAGTACATTTTTTGGCCAAAAATCTGTAATTTCTTTCCTAGGACACTTAGAGGTATGCAGTTTTTTGCGTTTTTTTTCTTAAAAGATTGAACTTTCCAACGAACTAAAAGTAAAATTTCTTGGAATTTTATATGATATAGATAATCCTAACCAAAGTCGGAAAATTTTACGTACTTTTCGGTTTATTATTTTTCAAAAAATAACTAGAAGGCGCACTCAATCCATTTTCACTCACGATAAGGTATGAGATAAGACAAACTAAAAAAAATTAACATCGCTAAAAAATATTATGTCGTTTAAGATTTATGAACCGTTAAAAACTGCTACTTTTGGAGGCTCCCACATTACCGTTTGTCAAACAATAAATTAAAAAAAAAAATTTTTTTTCTTGTTTTCTTTTAAGATTTTTATAATCAAATTATTAAAACAAATTGTTTTACAAATATGGTTTTTTTTTAATTTGACATATTCTGAAGTCATTAGAAATGTATGCTACTTTTATATTTTCATAGTCCAGATTAAATAGATAGATATAGATTTCGAAAATATCATGATCGATTATTTAAAATCAAATTTTTGCGCGCAAAATGTTTACTAAAACCTGAAGAAAAAAAGTACGGCATACTTTTGGGCTCCCATAGCAAAGCTCTTCAAAATAGCTCGACTTCGAGTTAAGCCTTCAATTAAAACCAGAGCTTGCAAGGTTCGGTCAACCTTTTCAAAGTGTTAGGAAAAATCCTGTCACAAAAAACCCTATGACAACTGGGAGTGAGCTAACCCCTTAAAAGGGTTTTTACCTCTTTGACGAAAAATGATTTTAGATGCGACTAAATAAGTACGCTACCTAAAATTTACTCGTTCGGCCCGCTTTAGGAAATATTTAATATCTACACGAAAGTTTTCTGTTGTAGCGTGCCGAACGAATAAATTTTAGGTAGCGTACTTACTTAGTTGCATCTAAAATCATTTTTCGTCACAAAAGTTGATATCAGAACTTTTGTACGTTGAAAGTGCGATCGTCACTAGTTTTTTACCTCGTTAAGAGGTGTTTTTATTTGATATCAGAAGTTTTTGTTTGTTTACTTTTGCTCTCATAGGTGCTAATATAAACATTTAAATTTAAATTGGTCATAAATCAAAATTTTTAAACTATTGTATTTTAACGAATTAATTTTAAAAGGGCGTTGAAGTATTTCAAAATACCTTTTAGAACTTACAAGCAAACGAAATGTAGCTTTTTTTTTTATTTTTTTCCAGCTAAAGTAGCGGCTTTTTTCAAAAGTCGTAGAGCAAAAGATTCCTATATGGAACTCTTAAGGGCAAATTTACTGATTCCATGACCCTAAAATACAGTTCGGATACCCTCACACAAAATGCAATACTCAGGGAGCGTTAGTAGTTCAAGCTTGCAAAAGTGGCTTTTTTCGTATAAAAATAAATTTTTAACGTGATTTTTTACAGTAATGTGTTATATACCAAAATTTAAGGAATCTCAAGGGCTATACAGTTTAAAGTTTTAAAGAAAATCGTTAGAGCCGTTTTTGAGAAAAATAAAAAAAGCTAAAAAAAAGTTTTAAAAAATTGTCTTTTGTTCATATCTTTTAACCATTACATTTACACAAATTGCATATAGAAGGCGTTTATAGCATTTAAAAAAAAACAAGAAAGGAAGCTAGCTTCGGCCAGCCGAAGCTTATATACCCTTGCAGATCATTCCTATTAATTAACAAATCGCAAAAATGTTCAATTTTCTAATATTTCTCATTAATTTTCCGATCGTTCCTATGGCAGCTATATGATATAGTCGTCCGATTTTGATCAAATTAAAATTGAAATTCGGAAATATTTAAAAAGAGTCATATCCTAGAGTAGAAGATAATACAATAAAAACCAAAGAAGCTAGAATTTATTTCCTATTACTTTTCCATTAATTTTCCGATCGTTCCTATGGCAGCTATATGATATAGCCGTCCGATTTTGATTAAATTAAAATTGAAATTCGAAAATATTTAAAAAGAGTCATATCCTAGAGTAGAAGATAATACAATAAAAACCAAAGAAGCTAGAATTTATTTCCTATTACTTTTCCATTATTTTTCCGATCGTTCCTATGGCAGCTATATGATATAGTAGTCCGATTTTTTAAATAATTAATTCGAAATTCAGAAATATTTAAAAAATAACATCCCCAAAAGTAGAAGGTAATATTTCAAAAAACACCGAAGCTAGAATTTTTTAAAGTTTTTTTTTTCCGATTGTTCCTATGGGAGCTATAAGATATAGTTGTCCGATCCGGTCGGCTCCGACATATATACTACCTGCAATAGAAAGAAGACTTTTGCGAAAGTTTTGTCCCGATAGCTCAAAAACTGAGAGACTAGTTTGCGTAGAAACAGACAGACGGACAGACGGACAGACGGACAGACGGACAGACGGACAGACGGACAGACGGACGGACAGACGGACATGGCTAGATCGACTCGTCTTGTGATGCTGATCAAGAATATATATACTTTAT